GTAACAGAACACTTCAGCACTGCGCAGCAGGGACTGATGCATTTTCAGAAGCAATACAAATGGAACATTCAAAAACATTCAATATATTTTGAAGGAGAAAAAAATCCTTCCCTTCATTATGTGCTATGACCTCCCTAATTCCCAACTGATGATAAAAACAGTGACATTAAGACTTGTGTTGTTAGAAGGAAACTGTTTGTGCTGTCCACATCCCAGCTCTGTATAAAGCCAAATTTAGTGTTCTTTCCCTGACCCAAACTGCCAACAAGTATCACCTTACACATTTAAAACAAGCCACCATTTTCTATTCCTTTTCTAAAGATTAACATTTAATTCTGCATGACAGATCTGGTTTTTCTTCCCCAGAAAAGACACTATTACCTTGCCATATTTTTGAGCATAAGATCCCGTGAGAAGTGAATGGAAGATTATGATGGTCTCATCCAGGTCCCAGAGGAACACTCGCTGCGTAGAGAATAAAAGCAGGTAAGAGTTAAGATACTCCAAGCAGTGAGCTACAATAAAGGAGCAAGCTTTGAGGTTCACTTTGTGGTTAGTTGCACCATGTTTTTAACAGATATGAACAAGAGTATTCGTCTTACAGGCTGAACACATTATGAAACTCTCTCAGTTTATTGCAGTGCAGTTCACATACTGCTACAGAGCAATTACATGCTCAGAGCAATGCTCTCTTGGTCAAACTATTTCAAAAGCTTCTCTTGCCTTTATAGTTACAAAAGCAAAAACTTGGAGCACTAACGAACTTTAGAGCCCAGCTATGATAGAATTTTACCGTCTGTGATCTGGAGAGCACCAGGTCAATGACCTTGGTGTTTATCAGACACCTTTGTGTGATAAATAAGGGAGACTGGCTGCCACGAGGAACAGCAGAGCTTCAGTACAGAAGGACTTTGACAGATTTGAGAACTGGGCCACAGGCACTAGATGTTGTTCAATAACTGCAGATTCTGCACGTGGGGTAGAACAACCCCTGGTACGGGTCCAGGCTGGACGGACCTGGAGGGCACAGTGGACTCTGGGCGCAGCATGAGCCAGCAGCACTCTCCCCCTGTGGCTAAGATGAACTGGGGGCTGGAGAATACAAAGCGTGCCCAGCTGACAGAAGGAAGGTGCTGCCTCACCCTCCTGGCACTGGGAAGGTCACCCCAGACTGCATCCCCAGTTCCAGAGGTATGCGAGGAAACCAGAGAGCGGCCAGCAAAAGGCTGTCGAGATGGTCAGCAGCCTGGAGGAGAGGCTGAGGAAGCTGTGATGGTTTGTCTCAGCAAAGAGGAGATGGAGGGTGATCTAATAGCAGATGACACCTAATTGAAAGGGAACTGCAAAGATGACGGGGACAAATTCTTCTCAGTAGTGGCAGACAGAAAATTGCCATGGAAAAAGCAGGTGAAATTTGCAGCTTGGCAGACTCCAGTTGGAGACAAGAAAACCTCCTTCCCCAAGTGGACATGGTAGTCCTGGGACAGATCATTAGATAGGTACAGGTTCTCCAGCCTTGGAGGTTCTCATGACTCAGCTAGATAAAGCCATGGGTCTAGTGCTGGGGACAGCCCTGCTCTGAGCAGGATGCTGTACCAGAGACATCCAATGTCTCCTCCATCGACACCACCACGATTCCAAGATGCATTTAAGTGATGCTTGTCAAGGACTACTGAAGAACTCATTTGAGCCAGTTCTCAGATAACACGGAAATTTCCCAAATCATCATGGGAAATTCCCAAACTATCTCTCAGTACAGGAAAGACATGGGCCTGTTGCAGCAGGTCCAGAGGAAGGTCACAAAAATGACCAGAGGGATGGAACACCTCCCCTGTGAGGGAAGGCTGAGAGAAGAGGGGCTGTTCAGCCTGGAGAAGAGAAGGCTCCGGGGAGACCTTATTGCAGCCTTCCAGTGCTTAAAGGCAGATTAGAAGAAAGATGAAGACAGACTTTTTAGTAGGGCCTGTTGTGACAGGACAAGGGTCGATGGTTTTAAACTAAAATAGGGGAGATTTCGACTAGATGTAAGGAAAAAACCTTTTACCATGAGGGTGGTGAAACACTAGCACAGGCTGCCCAGAGAGGTGGTCAATGCCCCATCCCTGGAAACATTCACAGTCAGGTTGGACGGGGCTCTGAGCAACCAGCTCTAGTTGAAGATGAACCTGCTCACTGCAGGGGGGTTGGACTAGATGACCTTTAAAGGTCCCTTCCATCCCAAACCATTCCATGATTCTACGATCCCTTTCCATTTCCATGGAGACAGGATGCAAGAAAGAGAGGATGACTTTCTCCACCACACTACTCTGCAATGCTACCTGTAGAAAACAGGACTACTTACCTCCAGTTCACTGTCTTGCGAGGAAGAGGTATCTGCTTTCCTCTTCCCCCTGTTCTTCCCAGGGATGTTTTTTCTTGCCTGCTCATCTAACTCTTTACTTGCTGTTGCTCTTGATAAAGAAGGACTTGTGGATGCATCTCCTAGAAGAAAGACATCACACAGCTCTCACACCCTCATGTCTCAGAACGAACGCCAACATAAAGCTTATAGCATTTGGCCACAAACTCCTTTGCCAAAGGTAGGCTGTTACCTTGCTCTCTTGGTGCAGTAGTAGCTGAACCCTGATTAGAACATGAAATGCGATTTCTTTGTCCCACCATTTCAAAACAGCCCTGTCTCCTCAATTCAGTCCACCAGGACCGAGCTACTTACTGCATCCTGTCTGCAGTGCAAAGCCAAAGACAGAGCACCCTCCATCCTAAGCCCTCAGCCCCCGAGATGTCTCACTACCCTGGAACTGCTTTGTACTCAATTGTTTCTTTTAATACTTCCAGAGAGCGCACCAGAAACCCTCCGTCTGGCAGGAGTGTACAAGGGAAAGTATTTAACGATGCTTCTCCTTCCCAGATTTCCTGGACTAGTCAAACGCCTTCTGTGTCAAGCCACACTATGCAACACAAGCTGCTTCCACCTCCACACCCACTCACTCCTGTGCCACTGTAAGTCTTTGACTGACAGTTAAACAACAGACAGTGCACAGGGATATCTGGAGTGTGTTAATTACACACAAATCCACAGTGTGCTAACTGCAACAGACAGACTACAGCTCCACTGGCCGGTCAAGAATTAGTAAAGAATTAACAGGGATGATCTTGGCCCTGGAGACACAGACTTGGCCAAGTACCATGGCCATGACTGACAGGGATACGTTATGGAGCCTATTCTGCTCCTGGTAGGAACACCCTTCTGAGGGAATACTCTGAACCCTTCGTTAACAGTTCAGGCAGAAGCGTTAACATCCCAGTCAGCTGCCTAACCAGCGCAGAAATAGGACCAGAACCACAGAAGGAAGGCAGAGGGCACAGGGGACTTCACAGAATCACAGAACGGTTTGGGTTGGAAGGGACCTCACAGATCATCTACTCCCAACCCCCTGCCATGGCAGGGACCCCTCCCACTAGACCAGGTTGCTCAAGGCTCCATCCAACCTGGTCTTGAACACTTCCAGGGATGGAGCAGCCACAACTTCCTTGGGCAACCCGTGTCTCACCACCCTCAGGGTGAAGAACTTCTTCCTTGTACCTAGTCTAATGACTTGAAAGAGCTTGAATTTACTCTGGGTCTTGAAGATGAGAGATTTCAATTCCTATGAAAATTCATGCAAAATGGTGAACTTGGAGAATTCCTGAGCGAAGAAAATGGCACTGACAGTTTAACAACTGGGCCATCTGCTGCACTGTCTTGAAATAACAGTCAATTCCTTAGGTTTTCAACATCAAGAACAAATTCTCATGGGTAAATCTGCTGTTGGTCACCCCAACTAGAGGGCAACTGCTTCCTGAAGGAGGGAAAGCTCTCGAAGCACCATGCTTCTTGATGTACAGCATCACAGCATGGTGTTTGTCATCCCCTGTCTGTAGCATCCCACGGGGTAACGGTGAGAGAGGTCTGGAACTTCACTGAGTTCAAGACTATCCATTTGTACGCTTTGCTCACTGGCAGCCACCCACCCCTGCTTTCAGGCTGCTTGAATGGGTTTGAGGACCTGGCAGAGCTCAGGTACTAACAATGGACTTGGGGAAGATGCAGAAGGCAAAGTGCTTCAAAGGCAGCCACTCATCACCTCCCACAAGCAGGCTGATGCCCAGCCCATCTCCAAGCAAGACTCCCTTGGAAGCTAAAATGCCCCCTCCCCCCTTCTTCCTCTACTTCAGTTTTTATGGCTGAACAGGACATTACGTAGTGTGGTAAATCCCTTTAGTCAGCTCAGGTCAGCTGTCCCAGCTATGTCACCTTCCAGGCTCTTGCCCACCCCAAGCCTGTTTGCTGGGGGGGCTGTGGAGGGGAGAAAGCCTTGACACTGTACAAGCATTGTTCAGCAGTAGCCAAAACACCGTGGTGTTATCAACGCTGCTTTAGCCATGAACCCAAAATATAGCACCCGCAGAACCAGGGCACCAACAGAAATTAACAGAATCTGTTGGGTTTTCTTTTCCCAGCCTACCAACCCGCAACAGGCAGCAGAATTCAATTTAAAACTGTTTGACAACGCAGGAAGAATCTCATAACTTCTTGTGTAAGACACTGGAAGAAGTACTAAGTCTTTTCTCCTGTCCTTGTTAAGTTTAGAAAACCGTATTTTTGGCGAGGAAATTTTAGTCAATGTACGACTGCAGGCGGTACATGACATGGCATTACTGGAAAAGGCCAGCCAAAGATGTGACTTCTCTAGAATAGTCAGGTAAACCTTTTCAATACACCTTCTGCATCTCTTACCAGCTAAAATCTCCTCCTCCTGACAAGTGCCTGGTAACTCAGTGCTATGCAGAGGCAGCCCTGCTCGCACGCAAGGCGCAGCAGAACCGCTGTCACTGCAAAAATGATCCACATGGTGAGGCCGAAGAAAGGAAAGGACGTGCTCCTGGGCAGGGCAGCGACCAGCTCATTGAGAGGCCACGGCCCAACTGCAGCCCTTGAAAAGGCCTGAGCGGGCCCGGAGGGCTCTCGCAGCTGGGACTGGCAGCTGAGGCACGGCCATCCCAACCGGAA